ATGAAGCCTTCGGCATAGCCGAAGACAGCGCTGCTCTTACTTGTTTTAGATTATATTTAGTGTTAATCTTTAACTAAAATAAAAAGAAATTAAGCTACCAAACTGTATCCCTAACATCACTGCTGCGTATTTACGTATGTACGTACATACCTACATTTTTATGAAAACAATTCACTTAACTTATGTTGCTATTGAAAACTTGATTTTGGCGCCATGCCCTAACATTTCATTATTTACAATGTTTTACTTCTCCTCATTTGCATAGTTGGCTGGTGCTGTCACATAACATTCTAAAACAATAACAAAACTATTATTACATACCACATTACCTGCCATTGTCTATTGACAATTCAATGTCAAAGCTTCATTCATACTTGTACATTAAATTTATGAGGGTTGCATCAGTCTGAATTGAGATTTGAAATCGGGAGCTATTTACATACATATGTACATCACCGCGAACACTCGCAAAATCAGCAGCAGATAGAATTATCTTCTTCACAACTCTCCAAAAATCGCTCTCATTTACAGTATTTTGGAGGAATTTGGAGTACGGGATCATTTTTCCTGTAACTTTCTGCAAGTTCGTGTAAAAACCTGTAGGTTCATGGAGTACTGGATCCGAGCTAAAATTTGCTTTCGGATGTAAACAAACCACAGCTGTTATGGCAATTTGAAAAAAAAGTCCGGGCTCTTTCGGGCACAAAGCAGAAGAAGATATTTACGATCCAAAAGTGGAACGTATTCGCTCTCTATATTACCCATTTTTGTAGCGTGAGGAACCCGTGGGATCCCGCGGGCTCGCGTGGAACAAACTTTATGTAAAGTCAAGTGAAAATAACTGTAGACACTTTTCGGTTTGAAGTCGATAAAGATAATGGAAATATTGCGCTATCTGAAGCTGTAACCGCAAGTATTTTTCTAGCTTCATTCAGTTTATACAGTTGGGTCCAATATATGAAATATAGTATGTGGATTTCTATTAATAGCAAAACAATTTACTTTTGTTTGATTTGTCAGTAAATTTATTTACTGACATTTATGAAAGGATGCAATAAATGTTGATCATTTACTTTTTTATGAATGAGCTTTAATGAATTTATGTCGATATATGTACATGTGGGAAGCCACAAGTAAACACATTCTCACCATTGTTTTTGAAAAAAAAAACAACGGTGAATTTATTGAAACAAAATGGTAAACATTTTACTTAACAGCTGAAACAGACACAATTGTTGTTTTTTTTGTTTTTAGGTTTCAAAAACAAAAACAGCTTTCAGGAACTGAACAAGTAAATAT